TATACATTTTAGCCACTATTAAGAGCCACTGTAGGGGGTCCAAAGAGCCGTATGTGGCTCTAGAGCCGCAGGTTGCAGACCCCTGCTATAAAGGGTTAAGATGGATGAAGATAAATAAAGTTAAAGGCAACGTTTATAAAAATCGAAACCTTTATTTTTTTTCTTCCAGAGCAGAGAAAAACCAAACGCCAGTGAGAACGTCGCCTCTGAGCATCAAGTCTGTTTTTTTTTCTTGCCTCATGTGAGACATTCGGTAAATCAATCAGATTTATGTTGAACAGGAAGTGCCCGTCCCGTGGCGCCGCCTCAGTCGTCCACGGCGATGTTCCGGAACAAGTAGGACATGGACTCTCCGTTGTGGATGCGGCGGATGGCCTCAGCCAGGATCAGACTCACGTCCACCGTTTTGATCTTGGGACACTGAAGCTTCTGCACCTCATGGGGGACGGTGTTGGTCACCACCACCTGCAGACGCAGCCATCAGTTCAGTCTACAGAGGCTCAGTAAACTCAATAAACACCCAGCTTAGCATTCATAGTATTGATTTTTTTTAATATTTATTGATGTAATGATTTAAATAAAACTAAGTTAAGTTTGTAAATCCATGATAACATCCAGAGTGTGTTTATTTATCAGCCTGCAGCTCCTCAGAAAATCATTTTATCCATCAGACCTACCCCTAATTATATATATATATATATATATAGTATTTGGTCCTATAGTCACTGTATTACAGATGGAGTAATGTAAGGAAGGTAATTTTGCTCTGGGATTATTAAAGTTTTTCTGATTCTGATCATTGATCTTCTGCCTCCATTTATCTGTTTACTGCAGTCTGTTGAATTCATCTTAATGTGGATTTAAAGACATTTAAATCAGTGGAAAAAAACTTGCAGAACCTCCGTAGACCCCCCCTGTTGATGACCTCCGCTTTACATGAAAACCATCGATCCCATACAGTAGCAGCCATTTGTTACGGTCACTGTTTTGACGTTTGTTTTTGTTTTTTTTTGTGACCCCTGCAAATTGTAAATAAATGGTATTTTCCTGCTGACATCATCTTTTAGTTTACTGACTTTTGTGTTACACCCAGTGCCAGAATTTACCCTTTAGTGGTCTTAAGGGTGGGGGGGTTGTAACACCATTTAAAACAGCCCCTCCCAGTCAAATGCCAGCTGGCAGCAGACTTCCCTGCAGCTCCCAGCAAAATCAAAATCCCCTCCATCTTCCAGTCACTGTTCTTCTCCTGGGTCTGCAGATTTTTTGACTCTAAAAAAAATCCTGAGGCTGAACTTTTTCATCACAGGCATGAAACTGTTGGCGTAGCTCAGGGCGACCAGACGTCTTTTTTTTTTCCGGACATGTCCGACTTTTCAGACCTAAAAAAATGTCTGGGGGGGGATTTCAAAACCGTCCGGTATTCTGGTCGACTACAGTGCAGTCCGGGAACCCCGGTGGAGGGGGGCAGGGAGCCAGTGGGGGACGGGTGACGGTGGCCTGGACACAGGTCGCCCCGTGCTTCCCCCCGCCTGCCTTACCGGCTCCCTGCCCCCTCCTCCGGCTAAGGACGGGGGGCTCCTGGCTCTCTGCTGAGGTCCGGTTCAGCAGTTGACACTTCATATCCCCCCTCGCTTTCCTAACACCCGCCCCCTTCTTCTTCTGATTGGCTAATACTGTTAGCTTCAGAGCGCTCCTTTGCTACCATTGGCTGACTGACTCATTTTTTTTTACCATTCATTTATTTATTTTCTACTTTAATCCCAGCTCCACTCTTCCACTGCATTACAGGGTCTGACCAGCAGATGGCGCTTCTCTTTAGATCTTAATGTGATGAAATGATGACAGAAAGAATATTTTAGTATAAAGATGATGTTTAAAAAGGAATTATAGGGAACCAGCAAAGGAAAGTGGGTTAACTGAACGGCTGCTACTGTTTATTAATTTCTTCATTATATCTCCTGTTTTATCTGTTTAACATTAAAATCAATGAGGATTCTAACATGAATAAATTCATGAGGTTTCTTTTCAATAAAATATCACATAAATAACTTTATTCATTGGTTTTTCTTTACTAGCGTTTGTTAGTTAACTGCTGTTAAATCTAATACTTATATATATATATTTTTTTTAACAGTTTGTAAAGTAAATCTTAAAATAGTAAAAGTAATGCTAAACCTCTCTGAATACGGAGGAATAAACCAAAATGTTAGAGTTCTGTTTCCCTAATTGAGAAATAAGATTTCCTTCATTAGTCGGAGTCTAACAGCAGCTGTTAGACCAGCTTAGCAAGACTGAGCTTTGTTCTGTAAATTACTGATTTTGTTGCTGAATTTTGAAATAGAGGAAAGTTTGCAGCCTCCCCTGCTTGATCTTTTCAGCTGTTAAATTTCCAGGTTTTTCTTATTGTGTAATAAGCTGGTGGAGATTCTCAGTCAATCAAAAACGTTAAAATCAATCAAATAATAATAATATATAAAATAGTATAACATTGATGCATAAACACCTAATTTTATTTCAGTGTTAAATTCTGTTTAAAGACTATAATTAAAAATGTCTGTGGAGCTTTACTGGTTGATGATTTTCTTTGTTCTGACCCGCTGGTTTTTAATGGGTGGATTAAACCAAAGCTGACCTCATCTATAGCAGACTCCTCTATCAGCCGGGGGGCTTCTGCAGACAGCAGCCCATGCGTGGCCATGATGTAGATCTTATAGGCTCCTCTCTCCTTTAGTCGTTCTGCTGCTGCAACAAAGTCCTCCACGTCGTCTATGATGTCATCCTGAGGAAGGTTAGAAAGACCAAGCAAACGGAGCATCGGAGCCTTTAATAAAAACATACTATCTGGGTTTTTACAGGTTTACATCAAATCCTGATGGCTTCACTGGAAAACAAAAATACCCGAAATTCTGACATTTCAACTTTATGAGAAATATTCAACATTAACATCAAACTCAGACTTAATGAGGAATGAATGTAAAGTAGATTAAAAACCCAAATCATTTCCTTTTTATGCTGTATTTTCATTTTGTTGGCATCTTACCACGATGATGGCGATTCTTCCTCCTACGTCTCCAACGACGGTGATAGGAGGCTTCTCCTTCGGCATCATCACTGAACAACAGATTCAAGTTACTTTGATATACTTTAAAAGGAATAGTTGATAGCAGTGAAATTATATTACAACCATTTAACGAGCCTAAAATATTAATAACTCCTATTCTTCCCCATAAATCAATATAATACTCTGGTAATATAATAAACTGGTGAAGATTCTCAGTCATCCAGGTCAGAGTCATTGAAAATAAAAGTTAAAAACAATCCACTGGTCTTTGTTTCCAAGTTTGAAGACGTTTCTCTTCACATCCAGGAAGATTTTCTATTCAAAATGTCAAAATTGGTGTCGAGTTCGAGGATTTATAGAG